CGACAGCCACCTTTCTAAGCCATGATCGTCCCTCAACGGTACTTAAGTTATCGTGTCATTCTTCAGAGTCGCGGGGTGCTCTAGCCATGGCCTCTTTCTGGTTGTTGAAGTTGAACTCGTTTACAAAAAAGGGATTTACACTGTGACAGTTCAGATAAAGTCACGTTTTAGTTATCTTTCCTTGGAGGATTCGATATTCTCTTTCAGCACTAGTCACAGAGATCGGTTGTATACACACAGGCTGATAACACATTAAAGTTACCCAACTCATGTCCATTATCACGTGTCGAGAAGATTTCCTGGGATAGGGTAGTCTGCCATACAGACCCTGATAAAAATATACCAATATAGGCCTTGTAAGTCTAGAGTATGTGGCAAGTCCAGATTGTCACAGTTTGAAAATGTTAAAAATGAAGAAAGTCTCTGGGCTTCTTTTTATTATTTTCAAGAATTTCAATATTGTTAAGGAACTTGCTTTTTAAATGTAGAGTTTGTTGTATATACATCCAATAACATTTTTATAGAGGATTCATTGTGAACTTTGTAGTTTCTTTGGGGTTTTTTCAGATCTTTTTATTCATTTCAATTCAGTAGATGTACATTCAGATTGGGTGTGTACAAATATATCATACCTTGTGTATGAATAACAGCTTTATGTAATTTATATATAGCAGCAATACATTGTTGGTCGGATATTGTACTGGAGTGTGCGTGAAATAAGCATGTATGGACATCAAAACTGATATAAGCTGTGTACTGTGTGTACTTTGTAGTTGGTACAACTCACCGATATGTTTGTAAACAGTTCACACTGGCAAATGGATAAGCACACAAACTATGCCGTCCGTACAAGAACTTTACGTAAAGTTTGGTGGTCTTGGTTTTCTAAGTAAAACGATAAAATGTACCTGTCAGAACGTTTTCATGTAAAACAGGCTCTGTAAACACAAGTCTTGCAGTATATGGTCAGAAGAGCATGAAATAGGTAGCAGCCATCCAAACAAGTTGAAAAGTTGCCACGGTCAGATGTACAAGAGTACCAGGTCAACTGTTCCGATAGCAAGCTTCACGCAGTCGAGCTCAAACCGGGATATACATGTATATTGGTGTAAACTTTCATCGGGCTACTGGAGTACTAGTTTCGGGTCAGAAGATTAAAAATTGGCCAGCTGGAAGCTCGGCGGTCACCTCTCGTGCCTCACAAGTGGTCATATTACAAACAGGCATCAGTTATCTATTGCCAACAGTGGTGTATCCAACGTCAAAACTGGTTCACTGTTGCTTGCAATGTGTCATGTTTTGTCTCCTTTGCACTTCCTTGAAAATGGGCGTGGTCTTTGGCGACGTCAACATAGATGTCAAGCCAATGTCAAGCCAATGTCAAGCCAATGTCAAGCTGAGATGTCAAGACAGATTCTACGAAGGGTTTGTTAAGTGAGTGATTGATTGTGTGAGTATGATTTTACGCCGCTTTTAGCAATATTCCAGCAATATCACGGCGGGAGACACCAGGAATGGGCTTCACACATTGTACGCTTGTGGAGGAATCGAACCCGGGTCTTCGGCGTGACGAGCGAAAGCTTTAACCACTAGGCTACCCCACCCAAACAACAGCACAATACCCATAGAATGTCAATCATCGAACACGTGTCGGACATTAGAGGGAAACGTGTGCGTCAACGTCTTATCCAACGAATACGTTGGTCAGGTGCTGCAAGAGGAGTGGGACTCCCTCTAATGGCCATAGGGAAATGTATATGCTGTATATCTCGTAGAGAGTAAATGTTTGACTGATCATGGCGGTATTACGCCGTACCGATCTAAAAGTCGTAAACTTTGGCATTGCACCCTTTTCGTCCTTCAAGATCGTTAGCGGCCATGACATCCATTGTCGTACTTCACAACCGGCACAACAAAAATAATATATCTCACAATTCTACACATTTGGCGTTATTTTCATATATTCCCTATTTTTTTAACAATACATTTTATACATACATTGGTAAAACTTACAACACTGCAGCTAGCTAGATGGGACTAAACAACTATTTAATTATTTTTTTCAAGATCTTATCAGTTGCGTTTTGATTTTTTTTCTGATTCACAGAGCAACCCTTTTGAAGTCCTTAATCTCGCTCAGCTTACGTCGTCAAGGTCGCAACGTCCTTTATACAGTATTTATCTAGGAAACGTGTGTCAGGTTAATATCCGTCTGCAGGCATGTCTTACCAGGTGCATCAGGTTCAAGCACCAAACATGTGGCAAGAACATGTCAGAAATACAGTGATTACGAAAGTCGGCCCAAATACGCTGTATATATATAGTGAATGCGTGAGTTTAGTTTTACGCCGCGTTTGGCAATATTCAAGCAATTACACTGCAGGCTACACCAGAAATGGACTTCACGCATTGTGGGGAGTCGAACCCGGGTCTTTGGCGTGAAGAGCGAACGCTTTAACCACTAGGCTACCCCACCGCCCCCGTTGTTGTTTCTGAAATGGGCGGTACGCCGCTTTGATCTGTAGTTCAGAAATTATCGGCATGTCATCAGCTCCTGTGGAAAGGCCGCCCCGAGCAATACCGCATTGGAGAAGCTCTAGAGCACGGGTATAATGCTGACAAGTCCAGTACCGTTGTCTCGAACTTTGTACCGTCGAACGTACGTTTGTACGTATTTATTTTTTAGCGATTTTGCGGTTGTATGTACGTAGATCTCTTCAACTTCGACCCGTGAAGATCCGGGTTAGAATTGGTCTTCAGCAACCCATGTCGTAAGAAGCGACTAACGGGGCCAGCGACCCTGACCACCCGACCGACTTGGTTGACACATGTCATCGTATCCCAACTGATCAGTGATCGTTGGTGGCCATGAAATCCATCTATTTTATCGCCATACCGATCCATTTGATCTTTCTAGTAAGGGTAAACTGTTACCACCACGCAACCTTAAAATATAATTTGGGGCGGTGCGGTAGCCTAATGGTTAAAGCGTTGGCTCGTCACGCCGAAGACCCGGGTTCGAATCCCCACATGGGTACAATGTGTGAAACCCATTTCTGGTGTCCCCCTGGTGCTGGAATATTGCTAAAAGCGGCGTAAAACCAAACTCAGTCTGTCAGTCAGTGAGTAAAATATAATTTAGATTAAAAACCTAGCCACTGACGAGAGCACACACTTTCTACTTAGTCACTTATTGCTTTGACAATAACCTCTTTAGAACAATTAGAGAAACCACCACATGAGAAAATCAATATATACGATATTTAACGAAAGAATACTTCCCTGAAAAGCACTAGTATCCGTGAAGATCCGGGCTAGAATATTCATCTTCATTAACCCATGCTTGTCGTACTAGGCGACTAACGGGATCGGGTGGTCAGGCTCGCTGACTTGGTTGACACATGTCATCGGTTCCCTATTCCGCAGATCGATGCTCATGTTGTTGATCACTGGATTGTATGGTCCAGACTCGATTATTTACAAACCGCCGCCATATAGCTGCAATATTGCTGAATGCGGCGTAAGACTAAACTCACTCACTCACTCTGCCAATAATGAGTTCAAATCCAACATTTTTCCGATACCTATCTCTCTTCTTCTTTTTTCTGTTTTTGGTTGTTGTTTTTGGGGATTGTTTTTGCTTTGCTTTGTTTTATTTGTGGGGTGTGGTGTCGACAAGAACCTGGGGGTCCGGGTCTATCAGAGGCATATACATAATATACAGGCTCAGTAGCGTCGTTGATAGCGTTTCAGCGCTCTCCTTCGGTCGGTACTCATAACATCAACCACTGGCATGTATTGCCCAATGTTGATTGCTATTGGCCACTGTCACTGGACTGGAACATTGCTGATTGCGGTTTTAAACAAACACATTACAGCATGCTACACCTGAACACAACTATGTTAAGCTGCTTCAAACCCAACTCAATACAATATGTATGCACAACAATCATATCACAGATAGGAAACGGTGTTTTATTGTAAAATCATTTCTGTGTATTACAGACCACAGTGTATTTTGCAAGATCATCTCTGTGTTTTACAGAACAGAAACGGTGGTATATTTCAAAATCATTTCCGTGCTTTGCAGAACAGAAACATTGTGTATTACAAAGTCATTTCTGTGTACTATAGAACAGACACAATGGTATATTATAAGATCATTTCTGTGGATTACAAAACAGAAACAGTGTATATTACAACATCATTTCTGTATATTACAGAACAGAAACAGTGTGTTTTCAAGATCATTTGTGTGTATTACAGAACAGACACAGTGTATTTTACCAGACCATTACCGTGTATTACAGGACAGAAACAGTGTACATTATAAGATCATTTCTGTATATTACAGAACAGAAACAGTGATTATTACAATCTCATTTATGTGGAGTACAGAAACAGTGTATTTTACAAGATCATTTAGGTGGATTACAGAACAGAAACAGTATATTACAAGATCATCTCTGTGTACTACAAAACAAGAACAGAAAACAGTGTTATATTACAAGGTCATTTCTGTATATTACAGAACCAAAACAGCACAGTATCTTATCACTAGACCATTCAGATTGTTGGATCTTAATCAGCAGTCTATCAGTCACTACATCACAGCATCTGATCACGCGAACCCAAGTCATTGCCACAAGAGAGCTACTTATAAACCTACTATACAAACACGGGCTATCTGCAGTTTGTCTTAGTGGGATTATAAGTAGTAATGGCTTCGTTGAAATTCTTAATCATGTACAATTTGGAATAGAAAAGTATGGAAATATGAATACAACTGAGACCATTCGGTGTTAATTGTGTCAGTCCGTATCTCGATAGGACATATATATATATATGAAAATATTTTGCCTAAATCGAAATTCTAAAAAAAACGAAGATTTGTACACAGACATGTTGTTTTTCTGAGAGTCAATTTGGAATGTCACTTGGAGAATTTCAGAACCGAAATGACATTTATACACTTCCTGGTTTTGTGATGGGTATTTTCCTTGGACTGTGTGAAGAAGGACGGTCTATAGCACTTGTCTGATAACGGCCACGCCCCCAACGGACAGAACTATCCCGATGGTCGATGACGTCACATCGCTGGCCGTGCCCTGAAATGTACAAAGCAGTTTCATAAATTTATTGTTGTCGTCATACTTTATGGAACGCAACTTATACTTGTTTATATTTGTGACATCTTGTGCATCTATAATAAGACCCCATGCTCCCTGTGTCTGACGCATGTGACAGTATTTCCCCTGTGAGTGGATCGGTAAATTTTCTTCGGATTGTACACTTTGTAACAGTCTGAAAAGCTAGCAAGTCGTGAAGCCAGCCATTCACATCTACGCCCACCCGCTCACCTTCCAGCCACCCACCCAATCTATCCAGAACATTGAACCCTACTAAATATTGGAAATGTACTTACGTTACAGGGCGTTGGATTCCCATGAAAAGTTCAAACATATACAAACACAATGCCTTCAGGTAGGAATAATTCTTATATATAGTCTGTTTGCAGTGAAAACGTACCGATGAATTTCACTTTAAACAAAAAAGTAAATCAAATAAAGTGAAAAGAAGATTGCGAGTCCTCATAATTTTACCTTGCCAACTGAACATTTAAATCTCAGAATTGTATTCAACGTAGGATTAAAGTTGTTTAACAAACGATCATAGTTTCAAATCACTATTACTGGTTTGTATTACATCAGTACGTTTTTACACTAAACAGACTATAGTCATGAATTATCCCCAAACACATAGAAATACCCGAAAATGGCCTTGTTCCGCACCACAAACTTGACATGTTATAAATAACATTCTGTATCATCGTTCATGAACCGGGGGCGGTGGGTAGCCTAGTGGTTAAAGCGTTCGCTCGTCACTACGAAGGCCCGGGTTCGATTCCCCACATGGGTACAATTTCTGAAGCCCATTTCTGGTGTCCCCCGCCGTGATATTGCTGAAATATTGCTAAAACGGCGTAAAACCATACTCAGTCAGTCAGTCAGTCAGTTCATGAACCAATACACCTTTTAACACGTCCACCAGCATCCACTGATCTCTTTAACCACCCACCTTAAATCCATTGATCAATTCTCCGCCGATTTGTTAAATTCATGAACCATTATTCGCCCATCTTTCCATTCCTGTACAAGTCCGTCCGTCCATCTATTCGTCTATCGATCAACAAGTCTATACCTCACCTATCCACCCACCCACCCTCTCCCATCCATCCTTCATCACTCAATCCGAACATCCGAACAACCTCCACCCACCATCTATCCATTAGCCCATTCATCATCTATGCATTCATCAGTCCATCCATCATCTGCCCATCGGTCAGACATTCAACTATTCACACATCATCTATCAATTGATGCATCCAACGTCTCCCCATCTCTTTCTCCGTCCGCCAGTTGATTGTTTGGATAAACTCATATTGAGTTTTAAAATTCAATATGAAAGTTTGAGTCAGTATTTCCTAGTAATATATGAAATGTTACTCTTCCATTGCATTTATGCTTGGGGAACACGGCCGAGAGTTTTAGAAGCACCAGGCAGTTTCTTAAGTGTATAGGTGGACAGGCATGATATAAATCTGCTGTACAAATATTCTAGAATTACTGAGGGAGAATTGATCCTTATCTTCAGCATGCCATCATCCCATTAATGAGTCACCTATTATAAATAATGATTATGTTTCATCTGAGATGACGTCTTTACAAATCAATTGGAAGTATAATTCGGAATATACTCACGTGTGTTGTTGAATTGTTTGTACTTGTTTGTGCATCTGGTTCCTGACGGAAAGAAAAGCTTCAGTCAGGGATGCAAAAACACTTGTTGTGCGTGCATCAATATGGGTCAGAGGCTGGAACCTTTAGTGGAAAGATCTATCATACCGTGGATTATTATAATTACAAGTGGTATTCTAATTACAGCATTGTGCCTACATCCTATCAGTGTGAAATCGATGATGTTATAATTCTCAAATTCATAGACTGCCTGAAAGGCCAGATGGTTGTAGAGCCACCCACTTACAACTCCACCAATCTACCATTGAGTTATCGTCCATCAGCTCATGCTTCGATGCACTCACCCCTCAACCCATTCGCCTTTACCTCCACAGGCTCATTGATCCATCCACCTTTCATTCGCCCTACCACCCATTCACCTATTCATCCGCCCATTCCTCCATGAATCAACCATACACACTTCTCCAACCAATCCATCCATCATGCTGCCCATCCGGATTCTTTATACCACCAACCCATCCATCCGTCCACCTATCCATTCATTCTCCCCGTTCATCTGTTTATCCAGCATTCATCCATTAGCACATTCCCAACCAACTGCCCTTCCAAACGTCCATCCATTCTTCCACACATCAATTCGTCATCATGTCCATCATCCATTTATGTATATACTCACTCATCCGTCCATCAGACCATATCTCCAACACTCCGTCAATCCCGGATTCTGTATACCACCAACCCATGCATCCACTCATCATTCCTCCGTCCATCGGTTAATTCAGCATTCATCCATTAGCTCATTCGTCAACCATCCACCGTTTCATCCATACATCCATTCGCGTATCCATCATCCATTCAACAATTTACTCATCAACCCGTTCATCAGGACATATCTCCAACACTCCGTCAATCTAGCAACTCGTCCATTGATCCCCCGCTACGTAAAACCCCCATTTCACCTCACCTCACCTCACCTCACGCACACGCATTATACGTTATATCATGCACACATACATACATGCATACATCCGCGCACACATTCATACATACAATACATACATTTTATACATACACGCTACGCCCATACATACATGTACACATACATACATACAAATAACAAGTAGCACCAATTTCCGTAAACCACCTCAATGCGCTTTAATCTCAGATGGTACTGTTGGATATCACATAGAGTTCAAATGCTTCAATAAAGAGACAAATCTTTAGATTTGATTTAAATCAGCTAAATCTGATTAATTCTGATCAAAGATCAGACTGTTCCAGATCAGGCCAGCCATCTCAGTGAACTTCACCATATGGTTTTGTCAAGTCACAGGAATAGTTGGTGACGAGCCCTTCCAGAGGCAATAGGTTGTTCCCTGGGTATATATCCACATTTAATGATATAAATCTGCCATGCAAATATGTGAAAATTGTTGAGGGCTGATCTGATCCTTATCATAAACATGCCCATCACATTAACGAGTCATCGCTTTGTTATAAAGAATAGTGTTTCATTTGAGGTAACGCCGTAACAAACCAATTGGAAGTAAAGTCGTTGGGTAAATACTTTACGTGAGTTGGTCCCTGAAGGTCCCTGAAGGCAAGGAAATATTCAGTCAGGAATAGCTTTCAAGATTGACGTATATCTCTGATCAATCACTTATTGTGCAGGCACCCATATTGGTCAGAGGCTTGAACCTTCGTCGCAAGATTCTGACACATTGTAGATAAATCACAATTTGGAGTTATATTCTAATCAAAGTCTTGTGCACAATATATTTCAGTGTGCATTGGGTGGAGTCAACGTTGGTGAGCACCGCCTGTCAGCAATGGTCCAGCTTACATCACATCAGTCTGCTGTAGATAAACGATTCTGGGCCAGACAAACCAGGGACTAAAAGCATCAGCATCTTCAGGACGTGTACACACATGATCACACATTTTGTCATCGTATGGATCTGTAATTGCACTTCAAATTCCATGTGTCTAAACTTATGCTTCTCGTGAGAGAAGAGTAACGGGATCGAGTGGTCAGGTTCACTGGATTGTCTGGTCCAGACTCGATTATAACTGGAATATAACTGGAATATAACTGGAATATTGCTGAGTGCAGCGTTAAACAACATCCAACCAACCAGCCCTTATCTAGAGCACGTGACCCAGTTTCCACTATTCAATCGTGATACTGACCTCCACATACACTACCTACAGGATGGCTATGCATGCACTGCATACACTTACTACCTGCATCCGTTATATACTCACCCTCCTCATGCATGCATGCATACATACATACATACATACATACATACATACATACATACATACATACATACATACATACATACATACATACATACATACATACATACATACATACATACATACATACATACATACATACATACATACATACATACAAATACATGTATAGCACCAATTTCCGTAAACCACTCAAATGCGCTTTGTGTCTCAGATGGTATTGTGATATCACATAGAGTTCAAATGCTTCAATAAAGAGACAAATCTTTAGATTTGATTTAAAAACAGCTAAATCTGATTGTGTTCTGAGGTGAGATGGGAGACTGTTCCAGAGATGAGGGCCAGCCATCTCGAGTGAACTGTCACCATATGGTTTTGTCCTAGTCACAGGAATAGTTGGTGACGAGAGTTTCAGAGGCAATAGGTTGTTCCCTGGGTTATATGTGGACAGGCATGACATAAATCTGCCATACACATATGTGAAAACTGCTGAGGCTGATCTGATCCTTATCATAAACATGCCACATCGCATTAACGAGTCATCGTTTGTTATAAAGAATAGTGTTTCATTTGAGGTAACGCCGTAACAAACCAATTGGAAGTAAAAGTTGGGTAAATACTTACGTGAGTTGGTCCACTTGTTCCCTGAAGGCAAGGAAATATTCAGTCAGGAATAGCTTTCAAAACTGACGTGTATCTCTGATCAACCACTTATTGTGCAGGCACCCATATTGGTCAGAGGCTTGAACCTTCATCGCAAGATTCTGACACATTGTGGATAAATCACAACTTGGAGTTATAGTCTAATCAAAGTCTTGTGTACACAATATTTCAGTGTGCATTGGATGGAGTCAACGTTGGTGAGCACCGCCGTCAGCAATGGTCCAGTTACATCACATCAGTCTGCTGTAGATCAACGATTCTGGGCCAGACAAACCAGGGACTAAAAGCATCAGCATCTTCAGGACGTGTACACACATGATCACACATTTTGTCATCGTATGAATCTGTAATTGCACTTCAAATTCCATGTGTCTAAACTTATGCTTGTCGTGAGACAAGAGTAACGGGATCGAGTGGTCAGGTTCACTGGATTGTCTGGTCCAGACTCGATTATAACTGGAATATAACTGGAATATAACTGGAATATTGCTGAGTGCAGCGTTAAACAACATCCAACCAACCAGCCCTTATCTAGAGCACTCACCCCTCCTCCTATTCGCTGTGACCTCAACATACATACATGCACGCATCGCACGCACGCACGCACGCACGCACGCACGCACGCACAAACACACACACACACACACACACACACACACACACATACATACATACATACATACATACATACATACATACATACATACATACATACATACATAGACCACCTCCATGGTTTAGTGGTTAGAGCGTCCGCCCGAAGTGCGCAAGGTCGCGGGTTCGATCCCCGACCGCGTTATACCAAAAGATGTTAAAATATGGTACTTGTTGCTCCCTGCCTGGCGCTGGGCATAATGGGTACAACAAGGACTGGTCGGCTAGGAGTCAGTATAATGTGTCTGAGTGGGGTATTCATGCTTCACTGCGGTATGGTATCTCAGTGTGCTAGCACTCTAAAACCAGCTTAAGTCTGGGCTAGTACAAGCAGCCGCACATACACATACACACGCATGCACGTCGTCATATGAGCGAAACATTCTCAAGCACGACGTAAAACCTAATTTCACCTCACCTCACCTCACGCTCACGCACACGCACACGCACACGCACATACATACATACACACACACACACACACACATATACATACATACATACATACATACATACATACATACATACATACATACATACATACATACATACATACATACATACATACATACATACATACATACATACATACATACATACATACATACATACATACATACATACATACATACATACATACATACATACATACATACATACATACATACATACATACATACATACATACATACAAACAAATACATGTATAGCACCAATTTCCGTAAACCACTCAAATGCGCTTTGTGTCTCAGATGGTATTGATATCACATAGAGTTCAAATGCTTCAATGAAGAGACAAATCTTTAGATTTGATTTAAAAACAGCTAAATCTGATTGTGTTCTGAGGTGAGATGGGAGACTGTTCCAGAGATGAGGGCCAGCCATCTCGAGTGACCTGTCACCATATGGTTTTGTCCTAGTCACAGGAATAGTTGGTGACGAGAGTTTCAGAGGCAATAGGTTGTTCCCTGGGTTATATGTGGACAGACATGATATAAATCTGCCATACACATATGTGAAAACTGCTGAGGCTGATCTGATCCTTATCATAAACATGTTCACATTAACGAGTCATCGTTTGTTATAAAGAATAGTGTTTCATCCGTAACGCCGTAACAAACCAATTGGAAGTAAAAGTTGGGTAAATACTTACGTGAGTTGGTCCACTTGTTCCCTGAAGGCAAGGAAATATTCAGTCAGGAATAGCTTTCATAACTGACGTATAAGTCTGATCAACCACTTATTGTGCAGGCACCCATATTGGTCAGAGGCTGGAACCTTCAGTGTAAGATTCTGACACATTGTGGATAAATCACAAATTGTATCCTAATCAGAGTGTTGTACTGACATCATTTCAGTGTGCATTGGATGCAGTGTGTTGTTGAACGCGGCAGTCAGCAATGTTCCATCAGTCTGCTGTAGATAAACGAGCCTGTACCAGACACACCAGCGATTGAAAGCATGGGCATCTCCAGGATGTACAAACACGTGATCAGCAAAGTCACATGGCATCACCACCCAGACCTCTTAGTTAGAAATTCTAACTAACATATTAAGACCGTAAACTCTTTGTTAGCTAACACACAGAACACTGTTAATGCGTTTCGTTTATGTAAGATACACTCTCCTGTGTCAATGTATGCAATGGCAGGGAGCTTACACTTACACAACAATCATGGACTCATTTTAGAAACAAGAGTTTCTCCCAAAGGCATTGTTCATGAAACAAATCACCAACAGACCAATCTGGTTTAGGTATACAGGATGCCTTTTAAAATTTACAATACAGTTCCCACCGACATCGCTCGGATCTGCACATTTCAGGATAAAAAAATGACGGGTAAGTCTTCATGCGTTATGTACTTACTGCTGTTGTAGTTGATGCTGATGCTGATGCTGCTGATGTTGCTGATGGTGATGATGTTGATGGTGATGATGATGGTGGTGCTGCTGAAAAAGAAGAACTGCGTGTTGGGAAATGTTGTTATCTGGGTGCTCCCATCCTCAAACAAGTAGACGAGTGGTCGATGGATGAATCCACAAAAATACCACAGTCAAGGTGATGTTGCGATATACCGAAAGTGAAACTGATTATGATCACAGTGTCACCTATTTGGCTGACGTCTAAAATCTGCTGCCCTTAGGTTCCCTCTCCCACTCTCCCTCCTAACCGTCACCTACTGAGTTTGGAAGTCACTGAACTCGGAAACTCTTAAAAGCTTTTATATCACCGTCATCATAAATTCATAAAAAAAAACAACTTGGAACTGATTGTTTTGCATTTAAGGTATGTAAAGAGACATATGACAGTGGTGTACAACATACCACCCTCACCTGTAGATGGCCGCATCACCAAAACACCGACTATCAGCACCAGCACCGATATGATGGCTCGCATTGTCAGTTTTTAATCAAAGTAGGACTCCTGTGAACACAAAACTGGGAATTCCGTTTCAGCTTGGCTTTTAGTGCCTGACATGAGCGATTATTGGAAAATACATTTTCTAGGAAAGATGAAAAATCCTAAGACATTTCTGGCGTTTTGTCACAACATAATCTGTTAATAATATCATAAAAAATAGTGTAAATAATTAACAATAACTCCTCCCAATCAACATTTGCTTGATAAATTACCGGAGGTTTATCAGCTGATAAGGGGTTCAGCAGCAACATACCTGTGTAACTAACAGCTCTCTGTGCTCGACCTCCTATCTTCCCCCTTCGATGCTTGGGCGGGACGTCCGGTATTATTATATGGTGTTATGGACTGTTCCATTTATTATAATGGGAGACTGAAGTCACTGAGTATCAAATATGTACGTATACCACTCTACCAACCATCAGATGCTGGTGCTCTTAAGTGGTGCATTTATGGTCCACGGTATTTTTTCACGATTCCAAAGTCTTTCAAAGACTGAAAATGTCTTCAAGTTTGGACATTCGTAGTGAACACCCCTTTCTCGTCAGTGCGTTTATCGGGTATGACATTGGGTATGTTTACTGCTGCCATGGAAACATGATAAGGAACTGGAATATCTCAGTGCATAGTAGTTATACAATTATGCAAGTATTAATGTTTTAAGAAAACAATATTTCAATATAACTTGATCCTTAATCCAAACAATTCGACAATGAAAGTCAATACATTGGTATTTTTCTTAGCAGGGATGAGTTGTCTAACGCCGCCATAATTCCAGTTCCTTTACGTTTCCAGTCACATTAGTTCCGTCAAAATGAAGAGGAAAGGAGGCAATGATTCAGAGGAATTTCAAAGAAAGAAAAATTTAAAACAAAACACAGCTCTGAATACGTTCAGCGGCCAGTTTTATTAGTGTCATCAGAGAGAATGAAGTTACACTGAATATGGGGACTCGTAATGCCACTGTCACACCATTTAGTATAGGTGATTTGTTATGAGTGAGTCACTTTTTACGCCGCTTTTAGCAATATTGCAGTAAAATCACGGCGGGGGACACCAGAAATGGGCTTCGCACATTGTACCCATGTGGGGAATCGAACCCAGATCTTCGGCGTGACGAGCGAACGACGCTATAACCACAAGGCTACACCACCGCCCCCGATTTGTTATAAATTCAATATATACTATAATAGCTTTCAATCTTAAGACATTATTTACATGATGGTGCACCACAGACATGTGAAGTCTAGATCAATCGATCGTTTCCCCAACATTCCTTTGTTTCTTGACTTCAGGTAAACCATACAGATTTAAGACTTTTCAGAATACACATTAATCATGAGGATAAAACACATACCTTTTGTCAGGAATACACATAGGTGTTACCAGGCTTAACCACTTAGCCGAGGTAATACCATGAAACTGCAGAGGTATTATTTTGTTGTCAGGTCATTGCTACAGATAAAGATTTTTCGGGAAAGTTCCAAACACATAATGCACTTGTCAACTGGGAAAATAATCCATTTCCCTTACTGCTAGGTTTGGAGGTGTAAACAGGCTTATCCATGTACGTTAAATAAGACCTCTTGGGGTGGTAGATTAGCAACTGTCACAGAGGCACATCATCCATCTACATATACATGACTGACAAGGCACGATTACCGATCAGATCCGTAAAGATCCGGGTTAGATCTTCAGTCTAACGGGATCGGGTGGTCAGGCTCGCTGACTTGGTTGACACATGTAATCGATTCCCAATTGCGTAGATCGATGCTCATGCAGTTGATCACTTCATTGTCTGGTCCGGGTGGTTTACAAACCCTGCTATATTGCTGGAATATGTCCGAGTGGAACACAACAAACCAAGCAACGGTTACTGATCATGCAAGTATTCTGCTCAGAAAGCAAAGTTCTTCATGTGTGCCCTAAAGAAAAGGTTACTGACACACAGAAAACAAATAGCTTCGGTGTCAAAAGTTTGCTGCTAAAACTGAATTTTGCGTTGAAAGACAAATGTCTCAAGGTATGGTGACGATCAACTTTGCAGTCCACAATAACAGCGCACCTCCCTCATGCAGATGAGCCCCAACATAACAGTGGGTTGGCAAACAAGGTCACATGGCCAGACGCCATCTCTCCACATTGTGCATTGATGCAGGCCTCATGATTTTTGGCGCCACGAAACGTTGATGAAAGTTCAACAGAAGTTTTTTTCGAGGAAACATCCGGGGAAGGATTTGTCGGAGTTCCTGTAGCGCTGGAGGATACCGATGACGTCGTAAACGTCACATCTTCATCTCAAATGTGTTCAACAGGTGACAAATGAAGGGATCTTGGATCCAGGGTAACACATTAACATTGTAGTGCAGGGACTTGTGTAGCAAATATATTTTCTGATGAAAGTGCATGTTAATTTTTGGAACCACTGATAATTGATTTCAGTATTGCTTTTGGATTCAGAAAAACCATAGTTCCATTTTTTTCTCATTATTGAAGTGTCATTCTGGGGTACCGCCGTCATACAGCTGGAATATTGCTGAGTGCGGCGTAAAACTAAAGTCGCTCACTCACTCATTCTGGGGTAACTGAACATCGTTACCCATAATCGAGATGCAAAACCAATGTGAGAAAACATATTTTTATAAACGTATCACAACAACTACAATTATATATCATGCCCCTCAATAATATATGTATGCATAATAATTACTATAATCATATTTGCCAAAATCGAAGGGCAAATCCAGGGCAAATCAATTAAACGTTGAAGAAACTAAACTGACGATCAAAAGAAAGTTGTCACCCACGTTGGTTTACTCAAGTTATGCTGATATTATTATATTTCATTAATGTATTGGTAATCTTGCGCAATATCGAGGTGATATACACTGGGAGTACAAAATGTGTTCTTTTCACACAACGTGTAAAAGCAGCTGTGGCCAAAATGTTGGTGAACCCTGTGACTGGAGACTTAAAACACGCAAACAATATCTTGTGCGACCTCTTCTGGCAAGAACGCATGCCTCACAACGCCTTCTTATGGATTTTGTCAACCGTCTCGTGACGTAACCTGATATGCGTTGCCACATATCGTTTAAGGCATTCTCCAGGTCCTGAAGATTAGTTGGCTGGTTGGCGCGTTTCTTCAGCTCTCTACCAAGATGATCCCATAGGTTTTCTTTGGGAGAGATGTTGGGGGAACGTGAGGGTCATGTCAAGACGGCTGCATTGACGTTGTTTAGAAAGATCTGAGTGATCCAGGCTGTGTGGGGACGTGCATTGTCTTATTGCAGAAGGGTCCCCCTTGGTTGTTGCTTCAAGAATGGCACAGCTACCGGTCTCAGGACTTCGTCAATATACCGCTGTGCATTCAGGTTACCACGGATAACAACCAGTTGCGTCCTCTGGTCATTACAAATGACAGCCCACACCATGGGACTACCGCCTTCTTGGGGATGGACGTCTAAGACACACTTTGGAGCCAATATTTCGTTTCTACGGTGGTACACCCGTACTTTCCCGTCTGCATGGAACATATTAAATCTACTCTCATCAGTGAACAGAATACGTTGCCATTCTCGCCGCTGCCAACATTGTACAGGTTGGGCCCATTGTAGTCTGGCTCCTGTGTTCGGCGGGCAGGCCCATACTACGGAAGGGTCGGTAGGCCCTGATACCGACATGAGGTAATCGTCTCCTCACAGTGTGTCAGCTTACCCAGTGCCGTTGCTGCAAATTCCGTCACTATCAGGAACTCATTGCAAAGATGTATTGTGCGTAGAAATCTATCTTGTCTGGGTGTGGTGACACGTGGTCTGCCACTTCGAGGTCTGTCACAGGTTCTGCCTGTACTGCTTGAACAACTTAGTGATGGTCTGACGTGAGCATCCAAAGGTTCCCATTATGGCCACGCCAATGACGCGCTCCCTCTCTTCTGCACTTAAATGTGGCATCGCCCTGGTGTTGTTTTGGTTGATGTGACAGTGTGTAACCATTTGGATTGAGATATATAGTGGTATCTGCATGGAGATTCCATGGACACCCAAAAACGTATTTTGGGTTTTAGGATCGCAGCACGTGCATTGACGGATGCACGAGCTGGGCTCCTAGCAAATGGGAGGATTTTGTTTGCATGCTGTGTTTCCAAAAGTCACTAACATGTGAGGGAACCCTTTTTGGGATTTGGGATTTTAAGATTTTGACGTTTGATCGTCAGTTTATGTTAAAGTACAAGTACACAGAGGTAACACTGATGATAATGTTAAGTAAATGGGGTACATGTCTAATATATAACAATGTTAGGATGGATTTGAATGAAACTTGGTGGTTATGTTGGGTACGACACAATTTGTGACAAGGGCTCTCTGCGTACAGCTTGGTGAAAGTACAGGTACACAGCAGTACTAGAAAAATAAAGGTAATAGTGGATGGAGACTACTGTGCAAGGCAGAGACATGTTTTCTAACGAAGGCCCTTCTTGTTTCCAAATTAAGAAAACAAATAGGCGTAAAATGCATGCTTGTGTATGTATGTCAAAAATACTGTCCATGTTCAAACCATGTCAAAATGGAAAAATCAGATGGCAGTCCTTTAACAGGGAGAAGCAGGGGCAGAAAAACTACCACCAACATATGTCCTATTCTCAGTTCTCACCACCAAGTAATGGTATGGAATAGTGACTCCACTGCAAATCCTATTTTGCCTTCACTTCTTGATTATTGGTGGACGCTGGAAGGTGGTCACAACATTCCTGTCACATCAAACCTACCACCAGCTCCTGCAGCTGTTATAGAACTGGTCAGATGTGGTTGTTGTAGCAGTAAATGTGTCCAGTCATCGTGCTCATGTAGGAAGAACAACTTGATATAAACTGACATGTGTGGCGGTGAGGCGGGCGTGGAAAGGTGTGAAAAGGTTTTTGTACGTGAAATTATCCTGGATGGACATGAATCTGATGACGATGTGGATAGTGGTTGAATGAAATAATGCAAGCTACTTAACAATGCTAAATCCTTGCAAAAGCTAACATACATATACTAGTACACACTATATATTGCCTACCCCACTTGTAATATGTAGTTATCTGTTCACTATGATATAATTTGTTACTCCTGTAACATTCATACATTCCGTAGTCATACATTATTACTGCATAAGTGTGTCATGGTAGTACACATTACATATGTATGTATATATTATGAAATGGGAGAATACAGTTAATTAAATATATGGTTTAATTGATATAGGCCGATGCTTTCAGTGCTCGTGACCGACGAAGGAAAGACAATATTTATATAAATATACCATATTTTATGTGTCCAAATTGAAATTAGGAGCATAACATATGACTATTTCTACATCATGCAACATTAGCTACCTTTTGATCTGCTACATCACTATGTTGTGAAACTATTTTTGTCTCGAATTGGTGTAGAAAGCAATGTTGGGAACTCATATTTAATCAGTCCAAAATGGCACTTAAAGCAAACAGAAAAAAATGGAACCATGGTTTTTTTCTGAATCCATACACAATAGTGATTACAATAAGTATAAGTTCA